AATAAACAGGACATGCATCCAGCTGTGAATATTTCATGGTGCGTGAAAGTGAGCAGAAACACTCAGAGAGTTTGGCAGCGTCCAGTCGGCGTCCAGACGGAGGAGAGGACGAAGGGATGGAAGAAAAACATGGAGGACAGGTTCCTGACGGGGGGGTGGGGGGGGGGGGTTTATTATGGTTTATTATGGTCCTGTACGCATGCTGCCATAGGGGCGTCATTTCAGGAGACGCTGCTATGGATTGTATTTTGAGGGTTGAAAAAATATTATATAACCACACAGGTTATAATATATATATGTATATATATATATATATACATACTGTATATATATGTATATTATTCATGTGTGTTATAGAGGATGATTTTAAGTGTCAGACCATCATGTGCCAGAAAATAGAAGTGAAAACACTGGACAAGCAAAACCCGCCAAAACCTGTTCTGTTGTCTTCTCATAATCAGCATGACCTCTGACCTTTATTATAAACAATCATTATCTGTACGTTTTATGTTTGTAGTTTCCAGCTCCAACAACTTCAGCCCGTCTTTTTCCAACCTGACGTTTGACTGAGGCGTTTCCTGCCGCTACATCAACAAATGAACTAAAGTTGATTGTATGTTCATGTAACGTTTATCTAATGATAATATTGACTGATGTGATGGAATTATAATGTAAAGACCTAAAGGAATCTTGTTATGTGTTTATAATAATCATTTATATAGCACCTTTAAGAACAGAGTTTACAAACGAGTCAAAAGCAGGACAGAGAAAAGACAATTAGGACAATTAGAAGGAGCAAACACACACACACACACACACACACACACACACACACACACACACACACACAGTAAAAGCAATAGGCAACATGGAGATGATAAAAAGAGAAAGACAATATTTTTCTAAAGTGGCTTGAGCTCATTCGGACTCTCAGACATCTCTGAGGTCTGAGCTGCTGACCTGAGAACAGGAAGTTGACAGAAGAAGAAGAAGAAGAAGAAGAAGAAGAAGGAGGTTCAGTCAGTGGGAGGAGAAGTCTGTCAACAGTCAGAGCTGGTGCAGACACAGAGAACACATTGCAGAGGAGGTCGTCTCCAAGTGTGTGATGGTACATTACACACACACACACACACACACACACACACACACACACACACACTCTCCTCATCATGAAGTGAGCAGCAGAACAAAGAGACGGCTCATAGCTGCAGGTGTTTGTTTAGATTTCCACTAGCTGTCTGATACACACCATTACACACATGATTCTCACCTGGATCGACTGTGTGTGTGTGTGTGTGTGTGTGTGTGTGTATGCAGCCCTGCAGCGTCTTGTCCTTCTTTACATAAGCCCTGAATCAACTTGGTTTCTGAGCTCATCTGATCTCCGCTCGTGTCTCTGAACTGTTTCACTGTCACGTTTTTGAAGCAGTTTTATCTTCTTTACGTTTCAATAACTGAAGATTAAGCATTAATAATCACAAAGTGCTGAACTGTTTCTGTCTTAAACCTGAACCTGAACCTGAACCCAGAGCAGAACCATAAGCCAGTTCAGGATCAACATGTTGGTGATTTAGAAACATTTCCTCACGCCACTGACGGAGAACTTGATGTAGATCTGGTCTCTTGTGACACTGGAGGACGCTGACGAGACGTGGACAGCTGCTGTCCAGTCAGTCTGTTGTCTGTGTTCACAGGGGTTTAAATTCAAATCTTCTTTTTCCTCCGAGAACGTTTTTATGGCACGAGTCTGAACGAATGCGTCTCATTGGACAGTTCCACTTGTGGACAGGTGACATTCAACGTCAGAGGCTCAGTGTTCTGCTCTGTGACCTGTGAGGAGTCCGTGTATTCAGAGGGAACACGGATGTCCCTGAATGTCCCTGAACGTCTCTAAACGTCCCTGAACATCTCTAAACGTCTCTAAACATCTCTAAATGTCCCTGAACGTCTCTAAACATCCCTGATGTCCCTGAACGTCTCGTCTTTTATTTTCAGGATGAATCTTAAAATAAATCTGGTTTCCTGCTGCAGAGTGAAGCAGCTTTCTCAGCTCGTCATAAGCCTTCACTTCATCCTCCACCCCCCGTATCACTGGGGACCTCATTCTGCCTGCAGGATGTGTGTGTGTGTGTGTGTGTGTCTGTGTGTGTGTGTGTTCGTTCTTGTAGCTTTGTGAGGACTCTGACAGTGGAGACACTTGATCAGGTCTTCAGCTCCTCACAGTCCAGGTTCAGGTCCAGAACTGGTTCTAGGCTGGATTCAAGTTTATGAGTGTGTGTGTGTGTGTGTGTGTGTGTGTGTGTGTGTGTGTGTAGCAGAGATATGTGACTGTCCGTCTCTACATGTTAGTGTTGACTGTAACTGGGCCTCTGGTCACCTGCAGCCATGTGTTTACTATCAGTCTGAGCGAGTGTGTCTCGCTCAGACACACTCGCGAGTGTGTCGTCGTTAACGATATCATTGTGTGTTAATTAAAGCAGGAAGTGTACAGAATCTCGGCCGCTTCTTGGTGTCAGATGTGACTGATGGGGTGTTATCAAACGTATGCAGGGTTTAATTTCAGTGACGCAACGTACAGATTAAATAATAATACAGATTATAGGGTTAGGGTTAGATTAAATAATAATTATTATTATTATTAATTATTATGAATAATTATTATTATTATTTTCTGTATTATTGTTATTAATATTAATGTTGTAATTATCAGCCCAGTTTTTGAGTGATGGGTCCGTCATGAACAAACAAGTGACAAAACAAAAAGTGCGACAAAGTTTACCTCGTTGTTATTGTTGTAACCATGACAACAAAGATTGTCTAACATTGAGGAAGTACTTATTTCAACCCAAATCTTTTCCTAAATCTAACCAAGTCATGACCGTTATTACAGTAACCATGGTGACAGTACAGCTGTCAGTACAGTATATGTGTTTATTATTGTAACCATGACAACTGAGGTCCGATCCGCCTGCCGCCACAGGGAGGGAGACACTGCTCTGGGTCCTATCAGAGGGTTGAAAAATAAACAACTATTATTATTATTATTATTATTATTATTATTATTATTATTATTATTATTCTAAAAATCCCTGAAAACAGTTAACATCCAGGTGACAGTGCCCTCTAGTTGTCATAGTAACCATGGTGTTTAGGTTGAGGTCAGATCAGCTGAGTTTAACAGTAAATACTTCACAGATGTGTGTTTGAGCCAAACTTTAACTGCATTTGTTGCTTATTTACTCAAACATGTTGTTAATTTAGAGAATCACTGAAGATGTGTGATGACAGCAGCTTCACTACACAGACCTGACGTGTAGATATATTTTACATAACAACATCATTTTCTCTGTGTTCAGTTCGCAGCGTCCTGATAAAGACTCCACTTCCTGGTTGTTGTTGTTGTTCTGCATGGATTCATGTTACGTGATTATTCCTCCATTTAGGACCAGACTCTCTCTGGAGACCGTCCTGGGTCCATCCTCCGTTTCCTTGACCTGATTATGTTGCTGTGGGTCACTGAGGGTTTGTGTTTCCAGTCGCACAGGATCTGAGTTTATACACTGTTTAACCAGTGATGAATAAAAAACCCAGACGATGGTTTAATCCTGAAAGGATCTGATCCAGTGTGAACACCTCATCTCCTTTTATACAACACAGGGAAAGGTCAGAGGTCAGATCAGTTACTGAACATTCAGGAAGTTTTTTGTTTGTTTGTTTTAAACCCAAAACCAGAAAAAAAATTTAGTTTTTTGTTTTGCCATTTTTTATTGTGAAATATTGAGTTTAATATTCAACATGTCTGCAGGTGAATCACCTCTAAAACCAGAGATCTAATGAATTAGTGAACATTCAGGCAGTTTGTCTTTTTCAATTTCAACCAAAAGATGAAAAAAAAACGGAAACACGTTTTTTATTTTGAAATATTTACCTTTACTTCCGCGTCACTCAACTACCTTTTCTTTATTCCTAAAGTCAACAAGGAAAATGGAAAATTTGCTAAAACCAGATATGAAACATTTGTTCAAATTTGATCTTCTTGTTTTTCATTTCTTTAATCTGACAACAGAAACAGAAAAACATGTTTTTTTGTTTTTTCCATTTTTTCATCTTTAGTTTAAAACAAAAGAAATGTTCATAACTGTCTGAAAGTTCACGGACCCTGATCTGATCACGGTTTACATGAACTATGAAACTTAAAAGCTTCGTGGGTCGGCGTGGTCCATCCAATAGTTGTTGAGATGTTTCACTCAGAACCATAAAACCTCACGGTGGAGCTGGAGGATCAGCATCAGCAGAATTTATCCTCTGGGGACCGTGACTGTACAACATGTGAAGACAGTCTGTCAGACAGATGTAGAGAAAGTCCAGTCTGGACTGTTCTGGACTGATGCAGCTGAAGGTTTGTGTTTAAATGTGGACATAAAGAACCAGTGCTGAGGCCACGGTATCAGATCTAAACAGGACCTGGTCTCAGTGGACACCAGCAGCTGAGCTGTGTCCTTGTCCGACCTCTGCTGATCAGTGATGTGGCTGCAGCTGACTGCGGCCTGTCAGACAGAACTGAGGGATTTCAGATCCACTGAGCTGCTGTCACTTTGTCCCTGTGATGTTTTCCATGTGGCTTCGACAGCTCGGCTCAGCACAGGGGCGGGAAAGTGCTAATGAGCAAGACGCCAGCCCTCTAACAACACACATCAAGGGTGTGGGTGTGTGTGTGTGTGTGTGTGTGTGTGGGGTAAGCAGCTTTGCTAACTGTGCTTCTTAATTGCCTAAGGACTTCTTCTTCTTGGGTTTTGCGTCAGGTCTTGACTCGATGATTCATCATTGCTCTCAAGGATTTTTATATTTTCTGACTCTGCCGTCGTCTTAACTCTTCACCTCCTTTTTCCTCCTCCTCAGGTGGAGTGACGACGGTGCTCTGACTGGATGAACCCATCCCTCCATCCCTCCGTCAGCCAGAGGAAGGATCTGATGAGAGGACTGCAGAGAGAGGAGAGAACAGACCTCCTGCTATGGCCAGTGGTACAGAACAACATTATAATCCCACTTTCAGAATGATATAATCCCACATCCAGAGAAGACGCTGCCTCCTCCGTAGCATCAGGACAAAGTGTGTTTCAGCTAACGTGGCTCTACTGCAGCAGCAGAGACACTGTAGATCTACAGCCAATTACAATATGTTCATTAGTGAAACAACAGACGGACAGAGGGAGAAATAAAACAGTCACAACTCAGTCGCTGAAAAGTCTGGATTCTGATTGGCTGGAGGGTTTAACTGGACTGGTTTCCTGTGTTAAAGCTCCCTCCAGTCTGAAGTGTCCATGTGTAGTTTGATTATAGAGTCACAGGGCTGAGGAGGATGATGTGACCTTGCAGCTGTTTGAAGGTGAAGACTGTAGATCTGTTGGTTCTGTCTGATCCATTAGAACCACACCATGTTATTAATGAACAGGTTCTGATGTAAGAAAGCACAGACCTGAGAATTCTCCTGAGACATGTTCAAGTGACTGAACATCCTGATGATGGAGGAGTGAGAGTGGGAGAGTTTAATTAGCAAAATGGGACCCCGCCCCCCCACCCCAGTCTTTGACATATGTCTCTTCTGCCCCCCCCCCCCGTCTCTGATGTGTCTCTGGTGCAGCAGCTGACAGTGTCGGCAGTCTGGGTGCTGAGCAGAACCACCTGAGCGTCCCCGTCACAGATCATGGAGCCTGGGCCACGGCCATGAACAACCTGGGCATCATGCCTGTGGGCATCAGCGGGCAGCAGCTGGTTTCAGGTAACATCTGTACTCCACCCCCAGCTCTTTCATCTTTACACAGGAGAGGAAGCAGGGGTCATAAGGTGGGGGCAGGGGGGTAAGGGTCAGTGGTCGGGGTAAGTCTTGGGGTAAGAATTGAGGGCGTGGCCTCTTTGAGTGACAAGTGGATGCTAGCACGGTCACCTCAGCTGATCAGTCAGTGAACGTGACCTGTCTGTGTTCGTGGTGTAATTTGATGTGTTGTTAATGAACTAACTGAACATGAGGAAGTCTGAGCTGCTGTTTTTAGAGGTGACTGACAATCTAGTGTTATTTTGTTTATATGTTAGCACTAAATAGCAGGTCTCAGCGTCTGCACTCGCATTAACCTGGCTTGTTAGCTTAGGTCGTTGACTAGCTAATGAGCCAGCAAATTAATTAGCCTTGGGTTAGCCTTCTAGCAAGACGCCCACTTGTGCTAATGATGCTAATGAACACTTAAGTCTCAGCTCCACACAGGCCCCTCCTCTTTGACCATTTATGGATTAGCTGAGAGTTAGGGGGCGAAGTCAGACACTGCCAAGATGGCAATGGTGGAGCAGCTCACTGTGAGCTTCAGAAACCTGTGGGTGACGTCACAGAGGCGACGTCTATCTTTATTCACAGTGTGTGTCGCAGTAACAGCGGCTCACAACAGCTCTGTTTATTGTGTATCTCCTTCCTCTCACATGCATCATGAGACGACCACTCAGATCTATCTGGTGACCCTTGGGAGGGGCCCAAGCCCTCAGTTGGGAACCACTGGACTAAACTCCTTTATCTCAGTGGATAAAGCAGCTTCACCTGGAGCAGCTGCAGCAGTGAAATGCTGCTGAATCACTGATGACTCAGGATAAACAGCTGAAGGTAACACCTCTGTAAAGACCTGAGAGTGTGTGTGTGTGTGTGTGTGTGTGTGTGTGAGAGAGTGTGTGTGTGTGTGTGTGAGAGTGTGTGTGTGTGTGTGTGTGTGTGTGTGTGTGTGTGTGTGTGTGTGTGTGTGTGTGTGTGTGTGTGTGTGTGTGTGTGTGTGTGTGTGTGTGTGTGTGTGATGTAGCTGCAGAGACTTTCCCAGACCTCAAACTGTGACATTTTGCTGCAGCTGGAAATCAGCTCAACAGAAACTCCAACATCTGGATGTGATGATCCCTCTGTTCTGGTCCTGATATCCAAACCACATCAGACCTCAGACCTCAGACCTGGGGAGTCTAATGTAAACTGAGACCTGTACTCCGCCCCTGAGCTCCACCAGTCCCTCAGCAGTGAGTTCAGTCCAGCTGTTCTCCAACATCAGCCCCACTTGTTATTTCAACAAAAACGACACTAAGCTCGTCGCGTCGTCGCTTCGTCTCACCTCAGGATCTGTTTATGAAATTGTTTTCCTGAGACATGGGGATTTGTCTGAGCTTCCTGGTTGTGTGTCTTTCTGCTACATAAAGACTCGAGGGGGGGTTGTCATTGTATAAGCGCTGCATTGTGGGGGTTTATTAAATGAGCACGCGGGGAGATTTGTTGAGTTTTTTTTGTGCGTTAAGCCCAGAATAATTGAATGGCTGGATTTAACTGAGGAGCTGCTGAGAGGAGACAGACAGAGACACAGAGCTGGTTCCTCTGGACCACAGAGGAAATATGAACATGATGACATGATATTATTAAAGTGGTGATGTGATGCCGAGGAGACTCCACCTCTGGCAGCAGCTGCGTTCTCCTCCCTCTGTCGACCACATGTGGGAACATTTAGATCATGAGACACTGAGACAGAAAACAGAGCAGAGGATCTGATGTGAGCGTTAAAGCTTCAACCACAAACACACAAACATGGTGGATCACCGTTGGTCCTCAGACCTCTGAAGGTCTCTGTGCTTTCTGGGACCTGGAGGCTGTGAGAGGGATCAGACTTGTTGCAGAACATGTCACAGATCCTGGATCAGACTGAGGGTCCAGGACTCCCTGAACCCACCTGCTGGTCTTCTTCCCACAGTGCACCTGGGGCCATCACCTCCCCAGGTGTATGGTGACCAGAACCTGGACTCATCAGACCAGGAGACCTCTTTCCTTTGCTCCGTGGTCCAGTTCTGATGACAGTGGACAGGGTTACCATGGAGACTGTGGTTATAACCATCATTAATGTCTGTGACCGGAGCCTCGGTCTCGTCTGTTGGACCAGACAGGAAACGACTTCAGAAACATCTTCATCAGTTTGACATGAACACACATTAACACATGAGCTGCAGATACTCACAACACAACAGGAAGTGTTTCCATCCCCTCTCTCTCTCTGTTGCTTTCAGAATAAAGGCAAAAAATTACTTTAGAAAAATAAAGTGATGAACCTGTGATGCACTTGCATGGAAGTATTATAATAGATGTTTTATAATACGTTCATATGCACCTGTTGTTCAATGTTTTTAACTTCAGAAGTCACAAATCAGTGAACAAGTCCCAGCCTGGTCCGTCACTTTTTAGTGTCCCCTGGAAACACGTGCGTTGTGTTGTAAGTACCTCAGATACGTCGAGTACAGTACTTGGATTGAGCTGCTCACGCTTCGTTAAGGGTTGATTTAGTTACAATTATAATTAGACTCAGTTTTAACCCTGACTTCTGCATGGTCGTTTTGGGCGTGTCCTGACTTGAAGGTAACCACAGCCAGATGTTTCCAGAGAAGCTGCTGCAGCTCTTCTTCATGGCTCTGATGACAAACAGTCATAAAATAATTAAAATTAAGGCATAAATACCCTTTTCTCTGTTTTGGCTCTGCGTCTCCTTCTTCTCCTCCGTGTGTGTGTTTTATTTCTCCTCCACGTTTCCTCCTCTGTTTCTGTCGCTGGCAGCGGCAGCGTCGCTCCGAGCCAGAGAAATGAACCTGGCTCCCATCGTTTTGGCTCGGGGAGAAAAAGCTGCGAGCGAAAAGCAGCCTTATGTGATTATGATGAATGTGTGGCACAAAGACTTGTAATTTACCTGTCGGGGTTATCGCAGACGACGCTTTAATGAGTTTTCCTAAGACCTGAAGAATCTGCGAAGCATCCCGGCTGCAGACGCTCAGATTTATGGGCGATTATCTCTCCAAGTGTATTTTTCCTTTTTATCTCCGGTAAAGAGAGTGAGGCTTCTTTCTCTTTGCCAACCAAACTCTGCAGGAAGCGATTTAAAGCTGTGCAGCCCACAGCTCTGTGTTCTGGCTGAAAGTGCTGGCTGAAAGTGACAATGTGAAGGAGCCAATGAGAGAAAACCTGCTGAAAAACATTTGTTTTATACATAAAATATGAATCTACTGGGACAAAAGTTCAGTCCAGGAACTGAGTGAATGTCCATCCATCCGTGTTCAGCTCACGGTCCAGACATCCCCCTCCCCAGCAGCTCCTCCTGGGGGATCCCAGCTGGGTTATGTTTAGGAAAGGATGATGATTTGGGTTAAAATAAGAACGTCCTCAACATTAGACGATCGTTGTTGTCAAGGTTACAATAATAACAACAAAGTCATGATAATAAATAATAAGCAATGTGGGAATCGAACACACGACTCTCCTGTGTCGTATTCATCCACCACCTCCTCCTGACGTGTCCTCTGTCTCTCTTTATTCTACGTCACCAACACTTTCCCCTTCGCTCCTGTCATCATTACTACGGCCACTAGATGTCGCCTAGCAACAAAACTTAACAATGATGTCATAATGACCTGCTGCACAGACGACCTGTGGGCTCGTTCTCCGCCCTTTACTGTGTCTGTTCAGTGTGGTCGTACAACACGTCGTAACAACCAGTTTATTTGACGTCTTGTACGACCATCGTCACTGTTTTTAATCTTATCTGAAAAAAACTGTTTAAAATGTGAATTTGAAGTCGGAGGATTCTTCCTCCGACTTAGACGGAAACATCTCAACATTCATGTTCTCCAGAGTGGTGCACTGAGCGACTGACATCCAGAGATCTACTGGTCTCACTTAATATCTCAAAACCCTGACACAGAAACTAGCATTATTTAGAGACCACTTTAAATATGTGAAACATGCTAAAGATTCCCGGTGTGCTTCAGATGACTCCTCGGCAGTGTCTCACATCAGGGTCAGACTGTCCCATTTGAAGTCTCTAACACGGTGGATCCTTCCTGCTCCAACGTCTCCCAAGATTCATTGTGCAGAAAGCAGAACGACACCGACAGAACGTGTTTCAGCTCAGTTCAACAACTGTTAAAACCAAGAGCAAAGTTTATGTGACAA